GCTTAAAAGCCTGAATTTTGCCTGAAACTCTCAGACTGAAGAAGTCTCTTGGAGGAGAGACGAAACGTTTCATTAGAGAAGAACCCGTCCAGAAGACCTACACAATTTTTTTTCTTTTAGATTTTTTACCTGAATTACTGAGATGCATCAGGATGGTTTTTAAATGGTTTTCATTTTATGGAATTCCAACACACATCAAGTTGATTTGATGTATTTTGGTGACATGAGTCTTTTCACATTGCTTTATACCTTTTCTGCTACCTTTACTGGATTTTGTCAAGTATTTTTGTTTTTAGAATGCCAAATGCTTCCGACGTAAAAGAAAAGACATTTTAACATTGAGCTATGAGCAAAAAATGATCACAAAGGCCTGATTCAGCTATGAATTACAGCAGAAATCACGAGCTTGTTTACCTGCCTGATAATCACATGATGTTGGTTTTATTTTAAAGGGTTTTAACGTTCTTTTTTGAATTCACGTTTCACATCGATATGGGATAAAAATTGAATCCACATTCCTACAGGGTGGAAATAAAATTAAAAGCTTGTTACCTTGCATCCAGTGACGATATCGTGGCCCCAGTAATTGGGAGCACAACGATCGCACCTCTCTCCGATGGTGTGAGGAGGACAGATACACTGACCTGTGTTTGCATCACAGTTATTCCCCACATGACTGCACTGACAAGCTGCAAAGTCAGGGAGGCAACGAGTGAGTTTTCAGAAAGAAATCTGTTAACACAAGTCCCACAGCTACAGAAAAATCACCATGAATTTCTTAAATTCAACAATCTGTTTTCCTTTCTTCCTCACTCAATCTGAAGTTCATGCACTAATTAGGTACGTGGAAACAGGTGTGCTGATTAAGAACAAGGAGCAGCTGTGATGACTGGCAGGGAGAAAGGAAACTTTAAAAGAAACAAAAAGGATTGAAAATTAACTAAGAAATATAAATTTAGTAAATAATTTGCATAATTTAATCTCTGCAGTTTTTTTAATACAAACTTATTTAATATTTTTCTTTATTCTTTTTTAATTCCATTTAAATACAGACATGTTGGAGTGACTGTAGTTATTCTTTGCTACAGGAGATAAAAGACTGATAATATTTATGCCTGTGTGTGCATATGCTCATTTACTGCGTTGTTAAAATAACTATTGCATGAATGTTCTTATTAAAACTTAATTAAAGGAAGCCTGCTGACTTAAGTTTAGGCAAGTTTAAATATAAACAAATTGGATTTTAATGAAGCACTCAAAGTATTCATTGGATGAAGGTCTACTGATTAACTTTTGGGGTCTAATTCAAGCTGGCTGCTACAACTGACTTTTGAAAAAGGCTAAAACTCAACCAGTTGTACAGATATTAGGATTAAATTAGGTATTCTCCTAATTATAGGATCATCTTGGCAGGTTATAACTGTAGCGTTAAAGGTGGTGGGTAATTTGTGTGAACTAAAAAGTGGTAACATCACTTTCATCACAAATCAAAGCACAACACTCCAGAAACTTAAAGAAACTTGAAGGTTGTCTCCTTACGTGTGCACCCGCCCTCCTGGAAGTTGAAGAATCCTCTCGAGCATCGGTCACATTTGGGTCCGGTGACACCCGGCTGACATCGACACTGACCCAATTCATCGCAGTCAAATGACTTGGAACCAAACGAGCTGCAGTGACACGGGACACACACTCCACCTGTAGTGATGCCGTGAGTCAGAGGCTGAAAAAAAATAATAAAGTCAATGAGCAGAATTCTGGTTAAAAACGTTAATTAGGACTTTGGACCACTGAGTAAATCAAGTAGGGGTGTGTGGGAGGAGTTGTTCCAAGACACAACTGGTCTGTTTGACTTTTGTGGGGACAGTTTGTTGAGGACGTGATTGGTTGGATTGACTATTTTGGGTGGGGTTTAATGAACGCTAGGTATCTGGGGGTACAAAAGTGCCAGAAAGCACTTTTATTTTCAAATATAAAACATTAATTTTAGCCATAACTCGAGACAGAAAGGTTCTAGCCGCACAAAATTTGAAGTAAAAAATGTAAATGCACATGTTCACAATAATGTTATTTGAGACATTGTTCTGTTTTAAACTATAAATTACACCATTCATGTGGAGGGACAATAAATTATATTTACATGTTCACAAAAATTTTACAATCCCATCGTCTTTCAACTTGCCCCACAAGAAAAGTGAATATGACCAGTCATGGATTTGCCAAACTCCGCCCAATGAACTCAGGGAATTACAGGACAAACTCCGCCCACACCAAGAACTTGACAAATCGTGGTTAAGTCAAACTCCGCCCACACCAAGAACTTGACAAATCATGGTTAAGTCAAACTCCGCCCACACCAAGAACTTGACAANACTTGACAAATCATGGTTAAGTCAAACTCCGCCCACACCAAGAACTTGACAAATCGTTGTTAAGTCAAACTCCGCCCACACCAAGAACTTGACAAGTCATGGTTAAGTCAAACTCCGCCCACACCAAAAACTCAGCCAATCACTGTTAGGACAAACTCTGCCCACAAAAGAAACCCCTGCTTGAGTAAATGAGTCCTTGCAAGATGGAGAAAATAGCTAAAAGTGTTAAGTTTCAAATTAAAAAACAACAAACAAATTAAAATATGGGTTTAAAGTAGTTTGACACAGAATAAACAACCTTTTTGTGCTTTGCCAATGCAGGTTGGTTCAAGGAGCTGAATTCTCACATTTACACCACACAGTATTAATTATTTAAGTATAAATATCAATAGGTATGGGTTTTATATGTAAATTTTCTTATTTAAATACAAAAAGTCATGCAAGCCTTAATGTTTTATCAAATCCAGGCCCTTGAAACTAAGTGAATACTTCCTTTATTTTTCCTGCAATAAAAATCTCCAGGTGTTAGAAACACATCCATGCTGCTTTAAACACACCACTGCCATCCACATGCAGTGCGTTACCCCCGCCTGAGGCCTGTACGCTCCCCTGGGGCAACCCCCGGTACGGGAGGTGCCCCCCCATCTCTGCTGCGCAGCTTCAATGGGAACCCGCTCTACGGGCCGCCGCGTCTCCCGCCTTTCATAGCTCAGGCGACGCAGGTCACAGCGCCGACCCACGAAGCCGGGCCGACAGATGCAGCGCCCCTCGATGTCGCAGCGCTGAGACATGGAGCCGTAGGAGCTGCAGCGACACGGCATGCACTCCTCCCGCTCTGCATCCCACCAGCAGTTAGGCTGGACCAATCACAACGCAGAGGGATGGAGGCGAGGCAAAGAACCAACGACAATGAGTCAAAACAGACTGAGAACAAATAAAAGTGAATAAACTGCTGAAAAACCTGCAATAAAACGTGAAATAAGATAATTCACAGAAAAATCTTATATATGGGTGAATAATAAAAGAAAAGAATCTGTTTACTTTAAACACATTTCATGTCACATATACTGAAAACTACAAAAGCTTTTGTTCCCGTCTTCTGGCCAACATTAAATAATGTCCTAAAAATACACCTAAATAAAAATTTCTTCTTCTGGAAAGAACAAAATATTACAACAAATTATAGAATTTGATTCAGCAGTAAAAGAAAAAGGAAAAAGTCATAACTTAAAGGAATGCTTACCACGCACTCATCGCACTGTCGCCCAACCACGTTCTCTCTGCACGGGCACTGACCGCTGTCCTTGTTGCAAAGCTCAGACACAGAACCATTGGTGTTGCAGTGGCAGGCTAAAAGGAGAGGAGAAACTGAGTCATGGGATCGTGAACTTGTCCCGACTTGGTTGAGGCTGCGACAGAAAATGTGTTGTAATACGGAGATCTATTTATATCCTGTTTGGCTCGTATTTCTTCAACCAGTTCAGTTTTCTCTGTTCTCTATGATGTTTTCTGAGCTATTACATCACAGTTTTTGCAACTGAACCTCTAAATGAGGAAGTACCTCCTCTGGATTTAAAGAGACAGCCTCAAAGCGAGTTGATCTGAGACAAGCCTCAGAAAATGGGTGGGGCTTGTGGAGTTACAATTAGGGATGGGTACCGAATTCGATACTTTTTTAAGTACCGACCGAATTCTGTCGGTACTACAGAGTATCTATTCACGTAACATCAAACAGTACCATGTTTCGGTACCTAAACGCATCTTTGCGACCGTATTGGCGTAAGAGTGGTGAGTTTTCCATGCTTGTCCTGAACGCAGCATTGCGACCGTATTGGCGTAAGAGTGGTGAGTTTTCCATGCTTGTCCTGAACGCAGCATCATGCAAGAGCGTAACGACGTCAGCAGCCGCTGCTTCAGTAAACAGAGCGTCTGAACGTAGCATGAAGTGAGCCTCACTGAACAGACTGCCTCTGAATTATCTGGTGGATTAATTATCTTGTGAACACGACATTCGCTTGCTTAAAGTAAATAAAGTATCGACACTATCTTTATTTCATCCACCATTAAACAGAGACTGGCAAAGGAAAACAACAGAGGAGCTTCCCGACAGTGTGAACACGTCTGACCTGAAAGAGCAACAAGCAGCTAACTTGAAGTGTTGGATGCGTTTTGGATGCTCAAAATGTAGCTTGAATACCTTTTTTTTTTATTTTAACTCAATTCTCTTTTGCTTTTTTGATTTAAACTTATTTGCCTTCCATGGACCTCCATCACACAGTTTTTCTAGAGGCGAAATGACATCAATGGAGCTGGATTTTAATTTGTGCAATAAGACAAAACAGTCTTGTTGTTTTCAAGAGTTTTTACTTTAAAGAAATAAGTTACACAACAGATGTTGCAATACAAAGAGATGGATGTTGTTTTGATATTTGTTAAATTTTATATATTGAGAAATAAATAAGTTAAATAAATAAAAAATAGTTTATAATTAAAAAACAAAACACACAAAGTACCGAAAATTGGTAAAAAAATAATAAAACAAGGGGACTTTGAGCTCCACCTGCATTCACTACATACACATGACTCGACACCTAAGAACCACAGCATCCAAACCAATAAGTCAGGTGATGGGGCACACCCTCTATGAACAATATAGCTAATCAAGCCTATTGTTAAGCGATGGCCCTCTTTTGCATGTGACTAACCTGTTTGTCCACCATGTGGAGGCAGTGCTTATAAGTCTGAGTTCACCTGAAACTCATCAGACAAGAAGTCTCTCGGACGAGAGACGAAACGTTTCACTAAAGAAGAACCCATCCAGAGGACCTACTTATTTTTTTCTTTTTGAAAATTGGTACCATTATGTCCCGGTACTGATTCCCAGGTACCGAATATTGGTACCGAATCGATTCAAATGTCAAAAGTACCCATCCCTAGTTACAATAATGCTGCGTTCACATCAACCGCAATTTCAGTGTCAGGAGCATTTACCTGCAAAGTCTATGGTGGACACGCGTCAAGCAACGTCGGGAAGTGCTGCAGAGCGATTTGACAGATTTGCAGGATTCGCACGTCAAGTGTGTCGGACGCTAGAGTTGGAAAATCTGAAATTTTGCAGCTCGACGCAGCGAGTCAACCAATCAGAGAGACTCCACTGTGTGACGTAGTGACTGTCCGATAGGACAGTTTCCTGAATGATGTCCACTAACCTGAAACAGATGGACAGGAGCTCTTTAGCTGAAATCAAGTGCCTGTAGTCGGTGTCCAGGCAGGCGATATCAGCACCAATGCGGGTCAGCGGCTCATCAAACTGGACTCGGGACAAAAATAGTTCTGAAAGCAAGCCTCGTTAGCTCGCAGCTCCTGGGTGATGAAACTCACTAAACTCAGAACATCTCTGAATTATCTAATTATGAATTAATTATCTGATGAGTGCGACGTTCTCTTGCACTCAGTAAATAAAGCAAAGACACTTTTTATTTCATCCACCATTAAACAGAGACCAACAGGGTGGGGCTGTCGAAGCACTAGATGTGCGTCAAGCTCTTCAAGAGCAATTTTGACTTGCATCTGACCTCAAAGGTCACACGCATCCAACTTAAAGCGTTGGACGCAATTTTGACGCTGAAATCGCGTTCAGTGTGAATGCAGCATTAAGAGGAATTCAGACCAAAGCATTGCAGTTAACTGGATAATTTAATTGTGGAAAAGAAGGATTTTAAACCACGTGTCTCCTTTAAAAGTAGTTGACATCTACTACTGCCATCCTTTTGGAGGAACAGTGATCTTAATTGGACTACAGGAGCCAATATCCATCCATCCATCCATTTTCTTCCGCCTATCCGGGGTCGGGTCGCGGGGGCAGCAGCTTCAGAAGGGAGGCCCAGACCTCCCTCTCCCCAGCCACTTCTTCCAGCTCCTCCGGGGGAACTCCAAGGTGTTCCCAGGCCAGCCGAGAGACATAGTCCCTCCAGCGTGTCCTGGGTCTTCCTCTGGGCCTCCTCCCGGTGGGACGTGCCCGGAACACCTCACCAGGGAGGCGTCCAGGAGGTATCCTTACCAGATGCCCGAGCCACCTCAACTGGCTCCTCTCAAAGTGGAGGAGCAGCGGCTCTACTCTGAGTCCCTCCCGGATGACCGAGCTTCTCACTCTATCTCTAAGGGAGAGCCCAGCCACCCTGCGGAGGAAACCCATTTTGGCCGCTTGTATCCGGGACCTCGTTCTTTCGTCAYGACCCAAAGCTCATGACCATAGATGAGGGTAGGAACGTAGATCGACCGGTAAACCGAGGGCTTCGCTTTCTGACTCAGCTCTCTCTTCACCACGACGGACCGGTACAGCGCCCACTTTACAGCAGACGCTGCGCCAATCCGCCTGTCGATCTCCCGCTCCCTTCTTCCCCCATTCGTGAACAAGATCCCCAGATACTTAAACTCCTCCACTTGAGACAGGACGACCCCCCTGACCCGGAGAAGGCACTATACCTTTTTCCGGCTCAAGACCATGGCCTCGGATTTGGAGGCACTGAGCCTCATCCTGGTCGCGAACCGCTCCAGCGAGAGCAGCAGATCTCGTTCCGATGAAGCCAACAGGACCACATCATCCGCAAAAAGCAGAGATGCGATCCTAAGGCCACCAGAACGGATCCCCTCAACACCTCGGCTGCGCCTAGAAATTCTGTCCATGAAAATAATGAACAGAATTGGTGACAAAGGGCAGCCTTGGCGGAGTCCAACTCTCACCGGAAACGAGCCCGACTTAGTTGCTTACTTAGGAGCCAACATCCAAAGAAAAACTTTAGAAGTCCTTTAAAAAGCCTGAAGAACTACTGAACAAGACCACAAAGCGTATCTTCATAAAAGCAAAGTATAACAAAACATATGGGAACGGTTAGTAATTTTTGCACAGTGCTATACAGGAATAAATTTGTTAGACAAAACCAACTCTCTAATTAAGACACTTTTCACAGCTTCATCTAATGCAAACTTTAGGAGCTTAAATCCCTGCTGACTGCAAATGACACCTATTTACGCCAATCAGCCTCTTAGATGCACAATGAAAAACTTCAGCATCACACCTTCCATCTGTTACATAAGCTGTTACCGCATAAACGAGTATGCACGCAGAATGGCACATAATGTAAACTCTGCAATGAAACCAGCGACACGCATCATATCACATCGCAGGGACGCACACGGTACAAGGCTGCTCTGCCTCCTGGCGTTCTTTTATCTCCAGTGTAAAAGAAAGGATGGGCATGGCTGTGAGACGATGGAGGAACCCCACAACAACAACAACAACCACACAGTCTCAAACACAGAAGGTTACAGACACAGTGGAGATGGGCACACACACCCTCCCACACATCAGCATCTACATCTACACATACTATTCATGTTGGATTTACTGAAACTGTCAGGAAGTAATCATCTACAGCTAATTAACGTTTGGAGTCAACCTCCTTCCAGATGGCTGCTAAAGCTAACTGACCTTAGGAAAACTTTGAGCTAAATTTGATGTTAATAGCTGAGTCATCAAAAATATTTAAAGCACTTACTACATTACACAAGACTGCTTATAAAATGATTTATAAGCTTTGACCAACATGGTTATAAATGTATAAATTCTCAATACAAACTTATAGAGACATATGCATTAAAATCCTTCTTCACGTTGAAATTCTTCAGTTGGGGTCTTTATAAAGTGGAACTGCAATGCTTTATTTTAAATTCCTCCTTATTGTAACTCCACAAGCCCCGCCCATTTTCTGAGGTGCATCTCAGATCCACTCATTTTGAGACTGTCTCTTTAGATCCAAACGAGCAGCTTCAAACCCCGCCCCCTCCAGCTTCCAATGCAGTCCTTTACAGTTTGTTGGAGGGGTTTACGGTTTTATAGCAGCACAGAAACTTTTATTTAAAAAATGAATTAAAAGATGTGAACAAGAGAAGACTTATCCATCCAGCTTTATATGTTGGAGCCAGAGTCTGACCCAGAACCAGAGTCTGACCCAGAACCAGAGGAGAATGAAGACCACCAAATTGTAGTTGGTAAGTCCAGACCATATTTAGAAGTTCTTTTACTAATTCTGTGAGGTAATAGTTCAGAAAAAGTCATATTCATTCTTTCAATGAGGGTTAGGTCTTCCTTTTATCTCCTAAATATCAGACTAATGTGGTATTTTATCAATAGAAAGTGCAACATAAAGAAGTGCATTACAATATTGGATCTAATTTTAGATCAATCTTATGATTATTATTACTTTAGATGCACACAATGAGACAATATTTTTTCTCATTACCCAACAGGAAATCACTGACATTTGCCTGTAATAAAAATTTCAGTTGTAATTGTCTCTGGCTAATTAAAGGCATCAGTGATTTCAGCTTTGCTTGGTTAAAACTGGTAGTATATTGGATGAGGGTCATTACCTCTTCTTATAGTCCATTTATTTTGTTTTGCTTTTATTCACGGAGGGAGGCAGAACTACACAGACAAGTGTCCCAGTCTTCACACTCCTCCAGTCAAGAAGTGCAGAATGTAAGTTTCCCCAAAGAGTTTATTGATTTAACATGTAAAGCATTTGCAAAATGTTCATTAGGTTTCAGTCACACAGGAAGTAAATTATTGAATAGCTACATTTCTACTTAGTTCTGGAAGTTGGACAAACGTTTGCAACAACTTTCAAATGACTCTTCCCCCAATGTGAGAAATGGTTCGTGGGTTTTTATCTTCAAATTTATTCGGCAGACAAATTGCTTTGTGAAGTTTGCTTGCAAAAAAGAAAAAGAAAGAAATCAAACCATTTTCCCTTTTCAACAAGAATTAAACTGAAGCATTATTGGGGGAAAGACACAGAATGACCTGAAATGAGAACTGTGATAGAAAAACCAAATGTAAAGGATTTTTTTTCTAGGTTTAATAGTTCACAAATGGACTTGGCCTGAACTCTCCTGCTCCACTCAATAAAATTCATTAAGACTGGGAGTGATCGGGACAAAGAGGCAGGGAGAGAGTTGTTGTCTTTTAATAATTCTTGGTAGTCTTTTGTCATTCATACAGGATCGATAAGAAACCCTGCGTCTCCCAGACACGAGCGGCTGATCAGTACTGCAGGAGAGCAATAGATCAGGCTGATTAATCAATAACCATTTAGGTGGGTGGAGAGGGGGAAACAAGCAGAGGACAATGAACTATCAAATCCACATTAATACCCTTTGTGAGTCTGTCTCGCTGCCTTTGTGCTGCTCTGACACGTACTTATCTGTTTATCGCTCAGCCTGTCTGCTGCTCAGTGGAAGGTCTCCGTCTTCCCCTCGGTGCTTCTGTTTTTGTCAGCAGCGCAGCTTTTAATGAAGGTTTTCACGAACAAGTGCCATCTGTACACAACTCTCTGTGCCTCTCAGACCCTCCCCCTCTTTTTCTTTTACAGGTATAGTTCTTATTCTCACTCTCAAGCTCAGCTGGCAGTCAGTGGGCCGATCCGACATCACACCTCCTACTGGCACAGCTGCTCGTCGACACACACATCCACACTCCAGATGGTGGACTATCTACTCAGTGTTTCAGTCGACGTATTAGGGCTACCATTTAAATGATTTCAGCTAAGTTTCATAAGGACACTGTGCTCTTCAGTGTAACACCCCTGCTGAGACACAAAGCTGCACTGCTGGCACTCTCCATAAAGACCCATTGAAAACAGTGAGTTTCTTTTTAATTACAGGTTCTCTAAAATGTTAAGAACACTCAGAGTTTGTTGACAATCATAAGACTAACTGTTCCGGATAAATATGTTACAGTTATTTATTCATTGTCAGGTGTGCCGAGGCTTGATGCTTAAAGGGATCCCTGATTAGTTGTAACATTAGATTTTATTTGATAGGCATTTATTTTAACTGTAAAATAAAGACTGTTAAATACTGTAGGTTGTTTAGTTTTTATCATTTTTAAACTAAAAGTTAAAAAATATATTACACGGACGGGGCCATTTTATTTACATGCAAAGCATTCTGGGTAAATGATGACGTGGATAGGTCCTCGGTGCGAGGCTGCTAGCGAGCTATATCCACCCTGAAGGTTAATCTTGGACAATATCTGATGATCGACTCTTGAAACTAGAGAACGTTGAAGGTAGAAATGACTCAGCCTGTCAC